CCGACGAGCCACTCTCGTTCTTGCTTGGGGAGTTCCAACCCGACCTTGACCGTCCGATCCGGCCGATCCTTCGTTAATGGTACATCGCAAGTGGGCGCCGTCGGCTCAGGACATGGCGTCAGCCGTTTCTTTTCTCTCGGGTCCTCTAGATGTTGGTCGGTCTTTGCCCTTTTGCGTAGCGAAACCGCCGTGAGGTAGCATCGTTTGGACTCTTGGGGGCTTCCCCAAACTTCCCCTGTCCCGGCATGGGTAGGGAACTTCACCGTCTGGTGATAGGTAGAGACTACGGCTCTGATCTTGTTGAGGGTGGGGCGGCCAAGGATGGCGTTGTAGGCAGTAGGGAGATCCACCACTAAGAAGGAGGACATCACCGTCTTTGTTCGGGGCAGCGCTCCCAAAGTCAGGGGCAAGGTGACAGCCCCCAACGGTGAGATCGAATTGCTGGTGAATCCCGTGAGCGCTGAACAGATAGGCTTCAAGGACTCTTTGGCTAACCTCAGCTTCTGGAAGGCATCAAGATAGAGCACATCAGCTGAGCTCCCCATGTCAATCATGATTCTCCTCACCTGGGCATTAGCGATTCGAGCCATTATTACTAGCGCATCGTCATGCTCCGGTCGCTTGGCATCCTCAGGAGGGAATGCGACCTCGGGGTCGAGGCCGCGTTGGGGAGCATCGGTCCTGGCGGAACGGGCGTATGCCTTCCTCCCGGACATACTGGTTCCCCCGGCCGCCAGTCCTCCGGTGATGACGTCGATGTGGCGCTCCACGGGGCCCTCCGGACGGGGTGAAGACTCCTTGTTCTGTCGGACGTATCGACTGAGTTGTCCCCTGCGGACAAGCTCCTCGATCTACCGTTTTAGCTCGCGACACTCTTCGGTGTCGTGTCCGTTTTGCCGGTGAAAGTGACAACACTTGGACTAGTCGACGAGTTCTCGCGGGTTTTTCATCGAGACGGGGGCCCTGAGCAACCCTTTCTCCCTTATCTGGAGAAATATCTCCATCCGGGATGTGCCCAAAGGGGGCAGAGGAGGCCTCAAAGCGGGCGGGTCAGATCGGTCTAGCCTGTGCCTAGTCGCGGTAGGCTGCTACCCGCGAGCCGGCTCTGGCCTGACCCTCTTGTGCTCTTCCCGCTTCCCGGTCATCCAAGCCTCAGCCGCGACGAACGGTTTTGGCCGTGCGCTGGCCAGGAAGTTGAGCTCGAAGTCTTTGGCGAGCTGGTCGAATGAGGCGACCGTCCCGGTCCTTAAGCTGTTGTACCACGCACGGGCTGGTCCTCTCAGAGTTATGGGGAACGCCCTGCACATCAAAGCGTTAGAGGTCCCATACAGCGTCGTTTGGGCGCGGAAAGCAGCTACATGGTCCGCTGGGTCGGTGGAGCCATCGTATGTTTCCAAAGAGGGGAGACGAAAGTTCTGTGGGACCGTATGATCCCGTATTTCAGGGACAAATGGGGATCCCTGGTGTGCGTCCTCCCCGAGCTCTCCTTTTGACATGCGGACCTCCTTATGTACCTCGTCAAGCCGCTGACTGACGAGGAGCAACTAGGCTCGCAGGGAGTCCGTCAAGGCCGAAGAAAGGGCCTAGGGTTCCGCGTGGCCTCTCCAGTCCGTCGTCGCTCGATCCCCGAGTGGGGACGACGGGACCCGAGGCGAAGCAGGAAGCTCCGGGGGCGGCGCGTGAGCCTGAACAGGCGGCTCATGTTGTCGCACTGGTTGAGCGGCCGACGGGTGTAGTGTTTGGGAGACGAGTGGGATGATGGACTGCACCATACCGGTCAGAGCTTGGACTTGATGGGTGAGGTTGAGAAAGGCCTCGGACGAGACGGGCGATGGTTCGGTAGAGGGGGCGTCTGGCGGCGACAAGCTCGGGTCGTTGAATATCCGTCAATAGCGCTCTGAAGTGGTGGCGGGGTGTTCGTTGCGAAGACCCGCCTGCGGGGAATGTTCCCCCGGAGCCCCGACCGGGTGCGACCCCTCGGTTGCGGGTTCGACCGAGTCGATCTGACAATCCCTCGACATCAGGCCGACCCTTCCTCTAGCGCCAAAATGTTAGTGTAAACAACCTTGAGCCATGGCCTCGGGGCCGACACAGCTCGGTTCGGGTCCGGATGTCGGGGGATCTCCAAAGGGGGTTCCTCGGGACTACTGAGGTCGCCGGCTCGATCATCGTTTCCTCCGGGAAGGGGCTCCTCGCCTGGTGCGTTCGGAGAGAATCGCCTCGTCTTCGTTCCTGCACACAGGTCGGGTCGAG